GATGGCCCCAGAACGGCCCAAGAGGCCCCCAGGACGGCCCAGAGAGGCCCGTAAGACGGCCCAATAAGCTTTTAAGACGCCCAAGATGGCCTCCAAGACGGCCCTGGAGCACCCCAAGAGGGCCCCAAGTCGGCTCAGAGAGGCCCCCCAAACGGCTTCCGACGGCGTCGGACGGGCCAGGGGCCCACCAAGACGGCCGAAGATGGCACTAAGATAGCCCAAGACGGCCCAAGAGGCCCCCAAGAGGGCCTCCAGGAAGGCCAGAAAAAGGCCAAAAGCATTGATTCTCCCTAGGTGTTTGAAGGATTTTGACATGTGCTTCTTTTCGGCCTTCCGACGGCCCGATACGGCCCACGAGCCCCCAAAGATCGCCCAAAGATGGCCCAAGATGCCTCCAAGATGGCCCCAGAACGGCCCAAGAGGCCCCCAAGACGGCCCCAAGAGGGCCCCAAGACGACCCAAGAGGCTTTTAAGACGCCCAAGATGGCCTCCAAGACGGCCCTGGAGCACCCCAAGAGGGACCCAAGTCGGCTCAGAGAGGCCCCCCAAACGGCTTCCGACGGCGTCGGACGGGCCAGGGGCCCACCAAGACGGCGGAAGATGGCACTAAGATAGCCCAAGACGGCCCAAGAGGCCTCCAAGAGGGCCCCCAGGAAGGGCCGAAAAGGCCAAAATCATTGATTTCCCCTGAGTTTTTGAAGGATTGTGGCACTTGCTTCGTTTCGGCTTCCGACGGCCCGAGACGGCCCAAGTGCCCCCAAAGATCGCCCAAGAGACCCAAGACGGCCCCAAGAGGCCCCCAAGACGGCCCAAGAGGCATCTAATACGCTCAAGATGACCTCCAAGACGGCCCCCAAGACGGCCCAAGAGGCCTCCAAGTCGTCCTCCAAGAAGGCCCGAAAGGGTCAACTTGGCCTCCGGGCGGCCAAGATGACCTTCAAGATACCCACGTGTTCTCCGAAGGCTTTCCAAACCTATTCGGGGAACATATGGTCCGATAGCTTGGCAGGTCTGGCCTCAACGTTCGACCACATAGGCGCTTCCAGAAAGGCAGGGGGTGGCGGTGATTCGCCGTAGGCGTCTTCGATAACGCCAACGTCTCAATATGCGCTGATGATTCCTATCCGCCCCCGCATGATGCCTCCAGATGCGCGAAGGCAGCGCCGAGACACACCGACGCGACTGTGACAGACCCCATCTATGATGGAGAGAGGGCCGTCGGCAGTGAGCGAAGCCCTTACGGATAAACCTGGAGAAATCCACAACGAGAGCGTGATTCCTGAGTGTCGAGGGCGCGGGGTCTGAATAGATTGCGAGGAAGTCCCACGGCTGAGCACGATTCTTGCATCAATTGTGATGACGTCCCGCGCGAGAGCGCGATTGGGAATAAACTGTGAGGACGTATCAGGCGGTAGCCGTTATCGTTGCAAACCAAGGGCCAACAATACAGTTTGGTGGCACCTCACTTCCCCTTGTAAAACAAACAGGGTGTGAGCCCTGGGAAGCACATTAATTGAAAGACTCAATGGTTACTGGAGAGGGTGATCAACAATAAATATTCGTTTGAACTGCCAACAAAAAAACAACAGCAACATCAACAAACCCAACAGCAGCAGCAGCCGCAACACAAACAACAACTACAACAACAACAACTACAACAGCAACCACAACCACAACCACAACAACGACGACAAAAACAGCAAGAACCGTTACAACAACAACAACAGCAACAACAACGACGACGACGACGACAATAATAACAACAACAACAACAACAACAACAACCACAACAACAACAACAACAACAACCATAACAACAACAACCATAACAACAACCAGTTCAAGACTGCTCGCTCTGACCTGTTCGCATGCCATTCAACTCGCATATCCCAAACCAGCGGTACCCGCCCTCTTCGTCTTCGATCGTATCCCGATTGGAGGTATAGTTTCCCTACCTGCCTCGTGTGGATGGCGCAAGGCCCCAAGGCAGGAAAAGAGAGGACGGATGGAAGAGGGAGGGAGGAGGATGGAGCACGAGACTGACTAACAGGAGGGGGGCTAGGAGCAGAAAGCACGTGGCAGAACATGACGGGCAGATCGGGCGGGTAGACCCTAACGGGCGGGTCGGGAAGGCGTGCCCAGGCGGCCAGGTCGAACAGGCGGGGTGCCGAAGCGTGAGCATGAATCGCGAGGAATTCTCGAGCGACAGCGCGATTCCCAAGCAAATCATGAGAAAGGCCCGAGCGACAGCGTGATTCCTAAGGGTTGGAGGCGCGACGCCGAAATTGCGAGGAAGTCCCACGCGAGAGCACGATGCCTGCATAACCTGTTGAGGAAATCCCGCGCGAGAGCGCGATTGGGGAATACATTGTGAGTAAGTATCAGACGGGAGCCGTTGCTGTTGTTGTACACCGGGGGCCAACAATACAATTCTGAGACCCATGACTTTCCCTGATAAAAAACAGGGTTCGTGCACCGGGGAGGGCACTTCCATGAAAAAAGCCAAATGTGCCCCGGAGGGGGGGGATCGACATGAAGTATTCTTCAATAGCGAGGGATCAAGAGCAACAACCACAACAACATCAACAAAAACAACAACAGCAACAACAACAGCAGCAACAACAACAATCAGTTCAAGATTGTTCGCTCTTATCTGCTCGCGTGCCAATAAACACGTATATCCCAAACCCTCGATACCCGCCCTCTTCGTCTTTGATCGTACCTCCTTGGGGGTATATCTTTCTTACCTGCAACGTGTATTTCGTGCAGCCGCTAAGGCAGGGGAAGAGGAGACGGATGAAAGGAAGCGACAAGGGAGAGGGAGGAGGATGGAGCACGAGAGAGAGTAGCAGGAGGGGGGCTAGAAGCAGAACACATGTGGCATTTTAACCAGACGGCCAGATCGGGCGGATAGACCTTAACATCAGCGGGTCGGGAAGCGGGCCCAGGCGGCCAGATCGAGGCGGCGGGTTGCTGAAGCGTGCGTCCTGCATGAATCGCGAAGAATTTTCGAGCGACAGCGCGATTCCCAAATTAAAACCGTGAGGAAACCTGCAGCGAAAGCGTGATTCCTGAGTGTCGAAGGCGCGGCGTCTGAATAAATTACACCTGAGAAAACCCAAGCAGTGGATGATTTGAAAATTAATACTTTGGATCTTGAGATCGATTGTGAGATCGATAATGAGATCGATAGTGGAATCGATAGTGAGGCCGATTGTAAGGTCGATCGTGAGACCGAGAGTGTAATCGATTCAATGAGATCGATAGTGAAATCGATCGCGAGATCGCTCATGCGATATCTAGTGAGATGGCTTGTGAGATCGATAGTGAGATCGATTGTGAGATTGATGGTGGGATCGATGGAGAAGTGGATAATGAGATCGATGGTGAGACTGATCGATGAGAAGATCGACCAGGAACCCGGGAACCCGGGAACCTCGCCGCCCTCCGAAATCGGCCCGTAACCCGGAACCAGGAATCCGGGAATCCCGCGTGCGGCCAAAATCGGCAGGACACCTTCGCCAAATCTTTCAACTTCCGCGAGGACCCCTTCAGTGCAAACACTATTTGGGAAATTGCGAAGATTTGGACGCCCGAAATGGGTACGGAAAAAATGGGCACAATGCCCAGCAACAAGTGTTGTCCCAAACCAACAGCGGCCGCTGTTGGGCAGGCGGCCGTCTGTCTCAAATGTACACAGGCCGCGGCGACACCGACAGCGAGTCCCGTTCAAAATGAACAGGAACCGCTGTTGGGCATTGTACCCATTCTTTCCGTACCCATTTCGTTCGTGCCGAGGGGAATTGGTTCTCTGACTGTCCCGGGGCCCGGCGAGGGCCCCCTGAGCCCGCAAGAACTATCCCAAGCTCCCGGTCCCGTCGTGTCAGGCGGCCTGGGAGCCTCGGTCCTCGATCCCTCCCCCTCCCCCTCCTCCGCCTCCTCCGCCCCCTTCCCTGCTCTCTCCTCCTCCTCCTCCTCCTCCTCCTCCTCCTCCTCCTCCTCCTCCTCCTCCTCCTCCTCCTCCTCCTCCTCCTCCTCCTCCTCCTCCTCCCGATCCCCCTGCTGTCCCCTCTGCGAGAGGTCGGGGGGGGGCCTCGTGGACCTCGACGACGCAGTGGGCGCGCGGATCGCTAGCGTCGGCGTGGAGCGGGGACGGCAGGGTGACGTGGTGCGTTCCCGACGCGGCGTCCAGGGCGTAGCCTCCCAAGGTGTGTTGTATGCAGGGGAAGGAGTTTGTCCCAGAGGCCTCCACCTGAGAGGCGGGGGGGAGGAGGAGGAAGAGGAGGAGGAAGAGGAGGAGAAGGAGGAGGAGTAGGAAAAGGAGGAGGAGGAGGAGGAGGGAGGAAAGAGGAGGAGGAGGGAGGAAGAGGAGGGAGGAAAGAAGAAGAGGAAGAGAAGGAGGAGGAAGAGCAGGAAGAGCAGAGCGTTGCAAGTGAAGAAGACCCTGAGATCCTGGCGCTGCAATTGTTGCACAACGGGCGTTTTCCGCCTGGTTCGGGCCCTGGGACCCTCACAAATCGTTCTTTGCTCAAGCATTGGCGCAGAAAGATGTGGTACATGGATCCGGTCGCGATATTGTACTATGGTGCATGTTGTTTGGCCACGTCGGATCTCAGGGAAGGAGGAGGAGGAGAAGGAGGAGGAGGTGGTGAAGAGGGAGGAGGAGGAGGAGGAGGAGGAGGAGGAGGAGGAGGAGGAGGAGGGAGGAGAAGGAAGTGGAGAAGGAGGAGGTGGAGAAGGAGGAGGAGGCGGAGAAGGACGTGGAGAAGGAGGAGGAGGAGCACAAGGGCACAAGGAGGCGGATGAGGCGCGAGCGGGAGTGGCGTGCGAGGTGCGCTCGCGCCATGTCTGACACCCTGCCCCTCCCAGCTGCCCCCCCCCCGTATCCGCCGACGAGTGCCATGGCGGACACCTGTAACCCTCGATGGACCCCCCGCGTGATGCGCCATCAGAAAAAGGCGAGCTGCGCACATTGAAGGAGGTGGCGGATGAGCAGGAGCATGAGCATGAGCATGAGGAAGAGGAGGAGGAGGAGGAGGAGGAGGAGGAGGAGGGGGAAGCAGGAGCGGGAGGACGAGGAGGAGCAGCAGCAGCAGCAGGAGCAGGAGAGCGGGAGGAGTGGGGAGAGCAGGATGACCAGAGGCAGGCGGGGGAGGGCAAAGGAGCGGGGCGACAGAGGTGAGGAAGGACTGAGATTCAGAAGCGGCCCGCGCTGTGGCGAAGGCGCCATTCGGGTCGACGGGAGCAAAGCGCCGATCCTCAAGCGAGGCCCACGCTGCAGCGGGATCACCTCTTTGAATCACCGAAAACGCTCCGACTGCACAGTTACCCCGACAAGAAGCAGCAAGGGTCAAGAGGCGGGAAAGGGGTGAGGACAGCCGCGACAAGGGGGAGAGTACGGCCATGCGCACTACTGTTGTTGTTCAAGGATCGGGGCCGTCTGCACCAACATGTGGCCTGTAGGAAGGCGAGGGCACGGCCACGTGCACCTTAGTGTAATGTGCTCAAGGGATCGTGGCCGCCTGGACCAAACAGGTAGCCGGCATTGAGCCAAGAGCACGATTCCTGAACAAACTGTGACATTGCTTCGGAAAAACAGCTGCCAGAACGGCTGGGGGACCGGGCGGTCTAGGGCTCCTCTGTGGCCCTTTTTTGCTTGAAGGGGTCACAGCGGAGATTGAACGAGTAGGCGAATGTGCGGCGCCGGTTTCGGTGGGCGGCCAGGTTCTCAGGAGTTCCCTGGTTCCCAATGTTCGGTTCTGGCGTTCCTGGCGATGTCAGTTTTCGGTAGGCGGCCAGGTTCCCGCAGGTTCCCCGGTTCCCGACTCCGGAGTTGCTGGCAGTGTGAGGTTCCCTGGAATTCCGGGGTTCCCGGTTCCAGGGTTGCTGGCAGTGTCACATTCCCGGATTTGGGAGGTCATGGTTGCGGCCTAGTGCCTCAGGACTTCGAGAATGAAGAATAAAGGGGTCAGAGAGTTGCGAGGAGTGATGACCAAAGATATAGTGGAGAGTAGATATGAGAGAATACGAGTTTGCTGGGTTTTTTGCAACTGCTGTCAGAATTGGAGAGTGGATAGTAGAGAGTCCGCCACCATGCCTCTGGGCACGGAGTGGGCGTGTCCTCGGGTCCTTTGCCTAATCCCTGGGTCCTCAATCCGTTGTCCTGAGGTGTCTTTAAGGTCGGCTACACGCAGGAGTGACCCTGGGTAAGAGTGACCTTTGGTGCGCGACTTTTTGGGGGCCGCGGGGGGACCAAACCTGGGCGCGCAAGCAGCTGCTGCTGCTGCCTCGTTTTTAGCCATCTGGGGGCCCCTCTGTGCCCGCACCAAAGGTCACCCGGGCGAAAGGTCACTCTTACGTCTCGTCGATAAGGGGCCAGGACCGCAGATCCCGAAATCGACCGGGGCTTCCCGCGTGCCCCCGGGGCTCCCCCGCCTCTTGTCGCGCGACTTGCAGGGCCCAAGAGGGCCCCAAAGCCAGGCGAAGAGGGCTCCAGGAGGCCCCCCGAGACGGCCCACGAGGGCCCCAAATCGCCGAACCGTCGCTCTCAGACGCTCCAGATTGCCCCCAGACGGCCTAAGGGGCCTCCCAAGAGGCCAAAATCATTGACTGTCTTCTGGTCTTCGAAAATGTTTGGCGTTCTCGCCGTTTCGGCTTCCCGACGCTCCCCGACGGCCCAAGAGGCCCTCAAGACCGCCCCCAGACGGCCCTAGAGGCCTCCAAGAGGTCCCCAAAACAGCCCAAGAGGGCCCAAGACGGCCCAAGAGGCGCCCAAAACGGCCCACGAGGGCCACAAGACGGCCCCGAAAGGGGCATGAAACAGAACACAAACCGAAAATCCTAGCCTTCTGCCCCAAGAGGTCCCCAGGAGTCCCCAAGATGCACCCTGGAGGCCCCAAGAGGCCCCGAAGAGGCCCCCAAGACGCCTCAAGAGGCCCGAAACAGCCTCCAAGACGCCCAAAAAGGGCCCCCAAGAGGCCTCCAAACTGCCTCCAAGAGGCCCCCGGGAGGATCCCAACGAACATCCAATGGGATTCATACCCGCGGGATGGGCCGAGGGTCAGATGAAGAGTACATGCCCGAGAGTGCAGAGCAGAGTCGGGCAAAGGGAGCAGAGAGTAATGATACCGGAGAAAAAACCCAATCAGGGCTATAGGGCTAGGGGGCTATAGGGCTATAGGGCTTTTGAGCTATAGGGCTATAGAGCTATATGGCTATAGAGTTGTAGGGCTATAGGGCTATTGGGCTATAGGGCTATAGGGCACCCCTGAGCACCCCCAGGCACCCCCGGGCACGCTCGGGCACCCGGGCACCTAGGCACCCGGGCACCCGGGCACCCCGGGGCACGCCCGGGCACCCGGGCACCCGGGCACCCGGGCACCCCCGGGCACCCGAGAACCCGGGCGTGCGGCGAAAATCGGCGGCAAACCTAACCTAACCATATAAATCCGCTAGGACCCCTACAGAGGCAAGCTCTGATTGGGGAAATATTGAACAATGCAGTGCGCAGTTGATCTGGATGCAAACGTAAACAGCGGTAAACAGCGTAGGGGGACAGAGAGAGAGAGGAAGAGAGAGAAGAATATATATATATATAGAGAGAGAGAGAGAGAGAGAGAGAGAGATGGAGGCGAGCACGCGTAGATGAGAACAGAGAGCACACAGCAAAGACAATGAATAGGGCGTGAGGGGTGCCGATAGCACAGCGCTTCAGGACGACGTTGGGCATCTATTGGGCTGCCCGTGGGGCTCTCTCTAGGGGGCCTCTTGGGCAGTCTGGGGGTGACCTCGGCTGCCTCTTGGGAGCAGCATGAAGGCCTCTTGGGGCGCCTTGGGCTGTCAGAGGCCTCCTGGGAGTATCATGGAGGCCTCTTGGGAGGTCCTGGGCTGTCAGAGGCCAGGGAGAACGAGAGCTCACCAGACACTCGCTGACGGCAGAAACACTGTTGGTTTTGCTTCCCTGCTGCGCTCCTCGGGTTCCGTGGTCTTGGTTCCTTATGAAGTTCCTCGGGTTCCTCGGGTTCCTCATTCTCCCCCTCCTGCTCCTGCTTCCTCCTCCTCCCCCCTCCCTCCCCCCCTCCTCCTGCCCCTCCTCCTCCCCCCTGCTTCCCTCCTCCTCCTCCCCCTCCTCCTCCTCCTCCTCCACCTCCTCCTCCTCCTCCTCCTCCCCCTGTCATTCCCCCCTCTTTCTTTGGTTCCTCGGATCCCCCCAAAGAATGCAAAGCAACGCCAAAAAATGCAAAGACCTTGCCCTTCAATGACAAGCAATACAAAAGCATTGTGATGACACTAAAACGTGTGTCGTTCGGGTCTGATTGCCCATCCTATGGGAACAGGTGGCACGTTTGGGCCTGTTTGCCGTATGTTCCCAAGCAATGCCGAGCGACGTCCATCAACGACACGCAACGCAGATTCCTCGGCAGTGCCACGCAATGTCGAGCAATGCGACGCAATGCGCTCTTGGGGCCCGTCCGCATGGAAGTGTATTGCACCATCTCCCACCTCCGCAGGAGCGTCGCAATACATGTGAGAGCATTTCTCACTCCTCATCCTCCTCCTCCTCCTCCTCCTCCTCCTCCTCCTCCTCCTCCTCCTCCCCTCCTCCTCCTCCTCCTCCTCCTCCTCCTCCGTCGCTGGCTCCTCGTTCGATTCAGTTGGCCGCCCTCATCCTTTTTCTCCTCCTGCCACGCCCGAATCTGACTGACAGGCCCACGACGGTAACAAGGCTGACGAGGCCCACTCCCTCCCAGCAACACAAAATCAGCACCGAACCATGCCAAGGAACACGCGGCATCGTCAAGCACCGCGAGGGCTTCCGGAGGCCTCCAGAGCCTCCAGGGGCCTCCGGGGCGACGAAGACAGCGAGGCCGGGGAGGAGGGCCGAGGCAGGAGAGGAGGGTCCGAGGAGGCCGAGGCCCAGGCAGCGTCTCGCTCCTCCACCAGGGCCACGTCCATGGCCACAGCCACGGACACGACCAGGGCCACGGCCACGGCCAGAACCACGACTTCGGTCACGACCACGGCCATTCTCACGGCCCGGCCATGGCCACAGCCACGGTCACGGCCACGGCTACAGCCAGGGCCACGACGCGCCGCAGCCGGCCACGGACACGGCCACGACCAGGGCCACGGCCACGGCCTCGGTCACAACCACGGCCACGGCCACGTCTGTGCTCACAGCTACGGCAAGATGACGACCAGGATCACCGAGCCTGCGGCTCGGGCCCTGGCTGCAGGGCTTGAGGAGGGGTGCTTCGTGCTTTCTCTGGCGCTCGTCTGCACTGTACCCGGCATCCAGACGTCTCCAGGGGCTCCCGGGGGCCCCAGGTACGGGACGTGAAAACGACCACAGCCACTGCTTTTCTTTTGTTGCCGCCTTCCTGCCAGCAGAAACGAAGCAGTGGTTGTGGTCATTTTCGTTAAGCTTGGTACCCGGGAAATGACCACAACCACTGCTTCTTTTTCGGCCGGCTGGAAGGCGGCGCAAACAAGAAGCAGTGGCTGTGGTCATTTTCCCGTCCCGCACCAGGGTCCTCCCGAGTCGTTCTCGTTGACGGCCCCAGGGGCCCAGCAGGGGCCCCCGGGCGCCGAACGTTGCGAGCCCTCTCCGTCTTGGTCCTCTCAGGGCGCCAGCACGTCTGGGAAAAAGGAGGGGGCGGGGGAGGCGCACGACGCGAAGGGCAGGAGGAGCAGCACGGGCGGAGCAGAGTCCTCCTCCTCCTCCTCCTCCTCCTCCTCCTCCTCCTCCTCCTCCCCTCCTCCTCCTCCTCCTCCTCCTCCTCCGTCCTCCCCCTCGTCCTCCTCCTCCTCCTCCTCCTCCCCCTCCTCCTCCTCCTCCCCCTCCTCCTCCTCCCCCTCCTCCTCCTCCTCCTCGGAGAGAGGAGGGCGCCCGCCTCCCGAGTGGTAGTGGCCCGCCAGGACCAGCGCCACGGTGCCGCGCTCGGCCTCGCGGAGCGCGCACAGCAGCTCGTCGTAGTTCCAGAGGAGGGCCGACGGCGAC